TTGAACTTTAACTTTTTTTTTTTTTTTTTTTTAAGGTTTAAAGTTTGGCACCAAAATTAAGAATGTGCCAACCCCAACAGGGTAAGTGCCATTTTCCCTTGTATGGGAAAACCCAACATGCACCATGAGGACAGAAGTCTTCATAGATCATTACATTCTCAGTAATGACAAGCAGTTTCTCCTTTTAATAAATGGATCCAATTACCTTGTCCATTAGTTTGAGTTGGAGCTGGTCCAGCAGGAGGAGCTGCAGGTGGTGGCTGTGCTTGCTGCTGATAGTAGTGAGCATAATAAGCAGCCCATGCTGCAGAATTGGGGTCTGTTCCTGGCTTACCTAAAAAAATAAAGGTCCACTCTCTTACAATGTAAATAGTATACTTTGGAAGAATATTACATAGCTATAAATTTCACATAGCTTTGCTTACAGTTTTAGTTGTTTATATGTAAAGCATGTATTGTTACACCTTCTACATGCATCTTACTATCTTTTACCTTTCCACATCTTTACTTCTCATCATGTTGTTTCACTTACATGTTCAGGGACAATTCATGTTTTCTGCTGCACCATATGGAGACTAATCACTCCATAATCAAAACACAGTTGTGTGATGAATAAACTCCAACAGAGTATTTCTCAATTCTAAAATGCTGCGATACTCTCCCAGTTTAACTGTTACAACACTGCAGTTGATCCTTTGATTCAAGCTAGCATCAAACTAAATTGTATTGTTTCAATTATACCCTTTAAGTGTAAGTTGAGCCATGACCTGACTAAACTTCATTTTAGTAGGTACTAAGCCACAAAAAATGCATCCCTATTCCTAACTCTCCATGGTACACTTGGATTTCAATGGCCAGTTCCATTTTTAAATAATGAGAAACACCTAATACTAGAAAACAAGCCATCTTGAATTTTGAGTCTCTCAAAATGTTTTCCAAAGTAACGAAAAGGTACTACGTCACAAAAAAAGTTTAGAAGCCCCATACAAACCTTGCAATATTTAAAAATATGGTCAAGCAAATCTCTCCAAATGAAAAACATTTTGACATTTCTAAACCATTTATTTTCATGTTAAGAATGCCTCCTGATGCAAGCAAACAGCTGATAGAACACGTTAAGTCCTATTCCATTTAGATGTCTCAGAGATAGTCTAATAAGTGATGTAAATTAAGAAGACACCATGATGAGGGTTAAGCTGTTCTTTTGCACTGTAATTTAGGTCATAAATTTTACTGGAAGAAAACAAGCAAGCTACAGGGATGAATGTAGGCTGACTGCAATGCTGTGCGGAGTACAACAAGAGAAAAGGAATTAACCGAACTCTAGGTCTATCAAAGCATATGCTACCAAAAGATGACAGAACTGCTTTGTTCTTTTATGGAAGGAAGATCTACTTTAAAAAACAAAAACAAAAAAACAAACACCCTTAGAAACCTATTCTAGAGAATTAGACTTTGAAGACTACTGAAGACTCCTAGTGAAAAAAAAAAATATAAAAAATGATTGAACAGAAAACAATTCTTGACCACTTCACAATAAAAACAAAAGGTGTCTATTGTCAGAATTATTGGCTGCTTCCAGATGTTAAAAAATGCCAGCCCAGAATACCCCCATGCTTTACCAGAAGCCACAGCATGTTACGCTGACCTGACTCTGCAATGTCTGTATAGATGAGACATTTCAGCAGCACTATTTGGCGCTTTTAGCTAAAGTTGTTTTAATCAGCTATTAGATAAGAGCACCAAAACAGCACCACTAAAGCGCCCAATTTATGCAGACATTGGGCGAGCCCGGTTCAACTAATGCACTGCCTCTTCTGGGCATGTGCTGGGCTCAGGATGCGAGTACGCCAAGTTTAAAGACACTTTTTTTTTTAAACGTCTGCACAAAGCCATTGTGTGAGGCCTGGGGGAAATCAGAAAATTGATTTTTACCCATATATGGTGAAAAACTTCAAGTATTGGTTGTTTAAAACTGAAAATTCTAAATAGATGTGTCACACTGACTCACTGGATGCTTTATGCCCTGGTCTCATAAACCAAGTTACTGATCTGACTACATCTCCAATGACCAGTCCATCTCTCTTGCTTCATGAACTTCTGCCGTGCCAAAACCCAGATGAACAGCAATGAAGTACTGAAAATCCCCTAAAGCGCTATCAACAGCATTCCTGCATCAAAATATGTTAGTGTGCAGCCAAAACCTAAACATGATTTCCAGATGTTTAGTAGTACAACAGAAGTATGACCCCCCCAGAAAATAAAGCTTTTTGGAAAAAAAATTGAGGGGAGCGCAGAGTGGGGAAAAGAATTTATTTCCTGTCAAGAGCTTTGACTGAAATCTTATCCAGCTTTGGACATGACCACTGCTGAAATCTTTTATACTAACAGTAAGCAGTTAGAATCAGAACATTTTTACCCAGGGTCTGCCATGTCTTATAGTTTCACAGGTTTCTAGGGGCAGAACGGACCTGAACAGATCATCGAGTCCGACCCCCTGCCATGGCAGGAAAGATTACCGGGGCCAAGCCACCCCAGCAAGATATACATCTAGCCTCCTCTTAAAGACTGCCAGGGTAGGAGCCAACACCGCTTCTCTTGGAAGTTGGTTCCAGATCCTAGCCACCCTGACAGTGAAGTAGCGCCTCCTGATATCTAGCCTAAATCTACCCTCTGCCAGCTTGTGACCGTTATTCCTGGTCACTCCTGGTAGTGCACACGGGAACAGGGACTTCCTCAATGCCTGCTGGTCCCCTCTGACTGGTTCGTAGCCTTGGCTCCCTATAGATCTGTTTTCTACCGTCTTGCTCAACTGGACACTTGAATTACCCTTAAAGTTGCTCAGGTAAAGGTTTTTAATAAGGGGGATGGACTCTGGAAGAGATTTTGAAAGATAATTACCTACCAAAAAAGAATCAAACAACAATAGTCTTAAGCTAACATAATGGAAGTAGTTAACAGAAAGCAGGATTTCTGAAGTACTGCTATCCTTTAAGGAGGAAAAAAAAATGGTGAGAAATCCAAGATTTTGACTCAAAGGAGCATTATCCTCGCCAGGATCAATATCACTTAGAAATGAGATACAATTAAACCACCAAGTGAAACATCATGGCCAGTGAGACTAGAAAGGGCTTTGGGGATCAATATAAATCACAAAATCTTTGTCAGAGACCCTCGAACATGCTACTTCAGCTCTCTGAACTAGTGGCCTGCTTTTCTTACTCAATTTTACAAGATAAGCTTAGTAGAGAAAGTTGAACCTCTCACTCTAATGCAGGTAATTTTGAGATTTTCCATTTAGAAGAACGTAAGCAAATCACAGATGTAACGAGGCAATACTCCTGCTCTTTTAACTGAATTTCAGTAACTTACAAGTTATTTTTATGCATTTTATGTATATGCAGTTTCTCAAAGTAATGATCAAGAAGCGGTTTTCAGATTTAGCAGTAAAAATAAAAAAAATGTAAAATGCACTTTTAAAGCAGCACATATGTACATCAAATGCATGTCTGAGCAAGAATATTTTTATAAAAAAATGCATTTCTTACCTGGATCTGGTGGATTTGGTGGCTGCCAGTGTGGATAGGCATTACCCCACCCTTGTGGGGCATATGGTGCTGGTGGACCACTGTAAGACAAAAGTACCATGCTCAATGACATTCAAGTTGAGGGTGACTCCACTCCCCCCCCACTTTAAAAATGGAAGTAAAATGCTGCTTACTGGGGTGCAGGACCAGGGGGTCCTGGATTATAAGGAGCAGGATTATAAGGTCCCATAGGAGTGCCGGGACCTGGCGGTCCAGGAGGTCCATGTGGGCCAGGAACAACACCATGGGGCCCATGAGGAACAGGTGGACCCAAAGGATTTACTGGACCCTATAACAGGGAAGAAGCAGGCAGGGAGAAAAGTGACCTCCATCTTTTCACATACTGAGAGCACAAGTCTGGATTCCAATAGACAATGAGCTAAAAACTTTTGTCCAGACGTCTGGACTTTTCCTTCAGAAATTGATTCCTTAAGGCATAAACACAAGTAATAAGCAGAGCAGTTTAAATGTAGTTTAACCCTGAAGCAAACAAGCCTGTTAAACCAGTTTAAAGCTGCCTGTTCAAATGTGTACCTGGAAAACTAAGTATTCATTTGAACAAGTTCCTGGCAAAACTGTTTGATGTGATAGTTCAAATGTTCTGCAAATATGGGTCTAGCTGATTATCAAGGCAAGAACTGGAAGCCTAGATTGTGTCGCTTTGCCTCCCTCCCTGCCCAGCAACTGGCCACCCTGGTGTGCATGCAGCAAGAACTCTACTGGCTCACCGTGCTCTTTTTGCTGCGACTTTTTAATCAATAAATTCCCTTCCAGTGTCAGACCTACAGTACTTCTCACACAATTGTAAACCAGTTCAAAAAATTAGTGACATATGGGAATGATTTGATCATTACATATGTCCACATCTTTAGATTCTCTCATGAATCCTCCCTCTAATGTCATCTTAGTACTTCTGGTTCTCAAGGGCCAGAATACTGCAATTCCCATTCAGAGAAGCTCTCTTTTTATCCACATAACAGTAAACTTTCAAGTTTTTAGATCTGTGAACCCTGATAATTCATCAACAATCTAATTACCACTAACTCTAGAAGAAGAAAAAAAAAAAAAAGATTGAAAGAATACTTGTTTTGAGGGAACAAAATCACTTTACATTCCCACAAATGAACAACACATTCAAATTAATTATATATAATTTTGATCTTAACTAAGGGGTGTTTTGGTATAATTTTCTACAATAAGGCATTCATCAAAGCATGCTTATTGTTTGCCTATTTAGACCCACACATAGGCTAAAAACAGTCAGCAAGAAATGAGACCAACAGAAAATGCATCAAGCCTAGATTATAACTATATATACACATTGGATTAATCTAATAGTTTTGAAACTATCCAAAATTAGTCTCCAAGGCTGTCAAATTCCACATTATGCACAAAACAATTATAGCACATGATGCTACAGTGAAAGCTACTTAATTTATATCAACCATGACCTAGAAGAGGGTAATTCCATCTCTTTCCTATTCAGTTCTTCATCACTCAGATCATCAAGAATGAAAATCAGGGCTTGTGATTATGCTTACATCTGAATTTACATTCAGACACTAATGATTAACAGTAATTAAATGACTGTCAATCTAGTTAACATCTGAAAAAAGGAACTCAAGTGGAAAGAACTAGTGAACAGACTCAACCATTCAGTTCAATTTCATGTATTCTCTCGCTTGTACCTTGCTAAAATAAAGATAAAGATGTATCAACAGCCTTACACAGCAATTTAAGATGCTTCTCAAAATACTCACTCCAATTTTTTCTTCTATAAGTTGTCGAGCATAATCAATCTGCTGTGGTGTCCCACGGATAGTAAACATTTTCATGTTTGGATCTGCATTTGGTGGTGGATTTCTCTGAAGTTCTATTCTAGCACCAGACTGCTGGCTTATGCTTTTGATAGTTTCACCTCCTGTAATTAAAATATCCGACTTTCATGGCAAGACATTGCATTGAATTCAAAAAACAAAAACACCTTAACTAAGGTGCAAGTTGGTCAAAAATTTAGAAAAGTTCAGACCTGAGTGAACAAGAATTGATGAGCTAGCTACCTATTCTTACAGAATTTTGTACTGGCACATGATTTTTAAAAAATATTTAAATGTTTGCTTTTAGTCTAACTGACACGGTCTTAGTAGTGGAGACCAATAAATATAATGAACGAAACAGAAGGAAGAAAGTGCAAGGATCTGTACTTGAAAAATACATCAGTGAAGAACTTCAAAAGTGTTTCTTGTTTTTTTTTTGTAATGTCTAGGCATGACACTCACTAAACTCTAACATAAAAATCAAACAGGAACAACAATGGATATGTAGAGCCATATGTAAGGATATACATGCACATTAATATCTATAAATTAAATTAGAAACCAGTAATTGTTTTTGTTTGTATTCAACAGAAAAAGAGTAAGGGAGAAAAGTTTAGTTATTGGTTGCATAAAAATCAGAAGTGATATAGGAGCAAACAATGCCTAAAAGTGAACACAGATTCTCAACTGAGTATTTTCTTAAGAGAAAACATGATACTTTAAAGGTGATTCTCTGAAAGTTATTTTGATTAGTTATCAGTTGCATAAAAGGTCGAAAATTTTAAAAATAAGCTTTTCCTGAATTTCAGCAGTATTTTGAAGCATTAAACAGGCTGTGAATGTGTCTGTTGTTTTCAGCTTTTCAGCTGTTAGTGATGGACTTCTGGCAAGATGTATGGTAAAGCAAAATCCAAGTGCTGTGAAAAATACACAAATAAAAATGACAAGTGGAACTCTGTCACTGAAGTCAACTATTTACAAGGGCCAACACTGTACACAACGTAGACAGAAATGGACAGAGGAGTATATATTCATTTCTTGATTCTTTCATTTGTAGTATTGTAGTAGCCTCTGATGTCATTTTAACCATTTAAGTAAAGAGTTCTCAGACACATGAAAGCTTCAGAACACAGACTAGTAGTCCAAGTCTGGAAATTAACGTTAATAATTTGTACTGTCCAGAAGAAACACAAGGATTTTTTTTTAAGGTTTCATTTGACAGCATGCTGCAGCTTAAATTTAACCATAATATTCTATGAAATGTGTAACTTTTTTTGTAGAGAGCAAAATCTTAGTACTATTTACTACATTACAACTTTGCTGAAAAATGTGGAAACCACTTTTGCAAAAAAAAATTAAGGATGAACAATAAGACTAAATTAACAAGTCAATATTGAATGCACACAAAAGTTACATTTGCACAAACTGGAAGAATTCACTAGATGAGCAACATGACATTATTTCACAGCCATTAATTAAGGGAAATGCACTTAAGGCTAAACGTGTTTAGAAACTGTGTCAAGATTATTGACCTCTCTGGTTACTAGAAACAAGTATTATTTCCTACAAGAAAAAGAAAATTAATGTTAAATTATTCAACAATGACAAAATGAGAGCACACCAACTAAAGTAGACACTACTGCAATTTTCACTAAGATCTCTCTGAAAATCTCTATGATACAGTTACCAACACAAGAAATGATTTCTAGTTAATATATAAAATGCATTGCCTTTGCCAATGATTAATCCAGTTTTTCCAGTGGGTACAATAAAATTGAATTCCTGTAATCCACCAGGAGGCCCCATGTTCCAGTTGCCTTGGCCTCTACCCCTTCCACGACCACCTGGTCCTGGTCCACCAGGATTACCAGCCTAAGGGGAGACAGGGAAGCGGGAAGGGAAAGGCACGTTAGCACACACTACTAAAAGTTACTACACCATTCAGTGCAGCGCTAGCAACTAACTTCCTAGAATACAATGGCTATGACAAAATAACGAGCATCAGATTAATACAAGTAAAAAAAAGTTTTAATTAACTGTCACATACAAAATAGCATTTTCTATAGTTAACAGAATATTATGAAGCTTCGGTCCCTGATTCGACTCAGCGGAAATTCAGCCCAATTCGGTGGCTGAATCTCCAAATCAGAAGACCCTTTAATCTCTCCGAATCAAATTAGAATCCTCCAAATCGATTTGGAAAGATTCGGACACAGACATAGCTTTAAACGTTTCTACATCTCTCTAGGTAGCAGGTGCCTCGTGAACACTGCAATGCTGGGGCGCATGAAGCATCCCACAGAAGTGCGGAGGGCTCACCAGCGTGCTCAGCAGCAGACCCAGAAGTGGACCAAAGCACTTCTTGTCCACTTCCAGGTCCACCCCATTGTCCTAGGTTTGGGGGGCACCCAGGGTCCCCCTGTGGCTGATTTCCAAGCCAGGGAGGTGCAGGCCCCCCCATCAGACCCAGAAGAGGACCGGAACTACTTCTGGTCCACTGACGAGCACATGGAGCCTCCCCCCCGGGACGCTCCATCCGCCCCAGCACCGCAGCATTCACAAGCTGCGCTAGTACCTCGATGTATGTGGAAAAAACATTTAAAGCTGTGTTTACATATGAATTGCTGATTCTCTGAATAAGCACTGAATCTTCAGATTCTGCCAAATTGAATCAGAGATGGTGATCTGAATCAATGACTCAAATCACTGACCCTGATTTAAGCTGAATCCAAATTGAATAGGGCCTGTTTTACACACCCCTAGTGTGAAGTAGTAGCATCTAGGTAAGAGCACATGATTCAAAAAAAGGTGAGAGGAAAAGCATGTGCACGCACATAAAGGAAAAAGCTGTGCTAAGTACAGTATCTCAGTTAGAAAAATTAGTACAAGTTCACATCTCTTGTATATTAAAAATGTAGCAGTTAAAAGCCGAAGCACTAAAGGTGCTCTGGATCAAAACCATTTATTTTTACTGGAAAAATAAAAAGTATAAAGCAGGTCCACAAGACAACACAATGTGAGGACTGCTTGATTACATCAGATTCAGTGGTGGGAATCCGAAATCAAGCTTGGTTAAAGGTTATGATGAAGTAATCACTGCAAGATTAAACACTGCACTAAAACAGCTAGAATCAAACGCTGACAAGGACTTTACCTGGACACTACGAAGGAGATCTGTTATAATTTCTGCAGCATGCTGGCATCTGTCTGGAGGTCCTGTGATTTGGGCTATTCTATCTGGAGTTGTTCCATCATCTGGAATAAGAACATTATATTTTGATAAGCTTAAGCCATATTCTACTGATAAACAAAGCTGCCGATCTACCCTTTATATGCACGTTACTTACCTGGTTTGAACTGGATCCTAACACCAGCATCGTTCTGTATTTTTTTGATCATCTCTCCATTTCTTCCAATTACTATACCTACAGCAAATCGTGGTATTGGAACCTGAAAGAGAATATACTAAGCTATTTCAAGATGCTGATGATATAAGTGTTTTTATGAAAATCTAGAACATCTTTTGTGTAACAAAAGACTAAACTATGGCCACTGACCTCATTACTTCAGTCTTGTATTCTGTCACATTTGTGGTCTAAAGGAGTTACAAATCTAGCCAGTAACCGCAAGAGTGTGAAAAACTAAAGTTTCTAGACACCAGAGGTTGTGATGATGGCAGAAACTTAGGAGAAGACACTTTCTTCAAGTTAATGCCCAAGCAAGTTGTTAAAGGTCTACAATAGTCACATCAAAATGACATTTTTACGTAGGCCCCTTCCATAATTTATCGTCATTTACCACACACCTGTGTGTGCGCCAAGCAATTCCCAAGTTTTAAAACTACACCCTTCACCCCACATTAACTGGAAAAATTATCTGCACCTTCCTGAAAATATAAAAACCCCACACAACCAACAATAAACACTATAAACCCCAGTTATTAACCCAAATTGGCTGATGAAATACTGCATCTAAGAGGTGGCAGCATTTCAGTCGTGAACAAGTCATACTTACATGTCATAACACTAGTTAAAAATTATTATTAGTATTAACTACCTTTTGGTATTAAAAACAGGTTTCAAAATACACAGCGAACAAGTTTCAACCATGCTTACGTCTATCCCTTCATTTCCTCCTATTCTTGACCCATATTCGTTGCGCACCTCTCTAAAGCCACCTTGGTCACGAATCAGCTCCAACACCATTTCCTTGGCTTGCTAAAAAGAAACCCCACAAAACAAAGCAAAAAACAGTTTAGATTCCATTTCATTATTTTGATGAACATTAAAAACATTTAAAAAAGGAAGAATTGAGCACTTCCATCTTACTTGAACTTTGTATGGGTCTCCTGTTATCCTAAGAGGCTTGTCTGCCCCAGTGTTCTGTGGCCCATCTTGAATCATGACCATTTTGACTCCTGCTCGTTCCTGTTTGACAACATAAATATAAGTTTCTGCAGAATTCCAAAGTCTGACAGAAAATATTAACTCTTAAATGTTTAAAACGTACCTGAAGTTGCTTAATTGTCTCTCCACCTTTCCCAATAACTAACCCTGCCTTACTGGCTGGAATCATAATTTCTTGCACTGCATTTCCAGGTCCATCACCATGATGAAAGCCAGGTGCAGGTCTGCCCTTTTCAACTATCTGATCAAGTAATCTCTTTGCAGACCTGTGAAGAGATGCATACACTATTGTTACGAAGAGCAACTTGTTCCATTTGGGAAAAGCTGCATAAACCATTTCTAATTGTTTCTTATTTTTAAGTCCACACATACAGATAAATATCAGAAGAGTATATTTGTCAAATTCTGTAAGATACTTTGTCAGTCTGCCTTCTGTTACACTACATCAGATATCACAAAGCTGAGTGTAGTACTAAAAGAAATACGATTGTGGCAGATTTCTTTTTAAAGAATTTTTGAAAGGATAGGAAAGTAGCATAGACATTGAGACCCACAAGAACCACCATGAAAAAATGAACTTTCAAACATCCAAGATTCATACAAGATTTTTAATACACCATCACCACCATGTTATTAAAACAATATATAATTTAACAGCCACAACAAACTATCAAGAATAAACATAAAATAGTCACTCAACCAACTAATTATAATAGGACAACAAAGGAGGATCCAGGAGGTTTTTTTTTTTTTTTTCCCCCCCTGGGAAGGCACTGAGGATGAATTTATTTAGAAACTGAGAACACCCATTTCCTAAGCATCTTAGATCACTAGAATGCCTTAAAAAAATTGGAACAAAGGACTTCAATCTTAGCTCATACAACACCACATTGGGATAGGACTGGGCATTTGACCAAACAAAAAGGATTACTTTATCCAGTACTGTTACTGCAACTTTTCAGGAATTTATGGATTAAAAATTTACCATAATATATGCAAAGTTTGAACAAGCAAGTAAACATGCATTTCCTGCCCCAAAAAACAAAAAAAAATATGATAACAAAGGGTTTCATTTAGTGGAAAAGACAAAGTATGTAGTTTTTAGAGATGTTGTAAAAATTATCATCATCAGAACTGGTCAATAAAATTGAATACATCAATTACAAAGCCAACAGGACAAAAAGGCTGGTGAATTGTTGACGGAGGAGGAGGAGAAAAGAAGCAGTTATGGATATGCAAGAAAAGAATTCAGTTAAACTGGAAACAATAGGTATTAAGAAAAAACTGGAGTAAATCAACACTTGCCCTACTTGGGAATAACAGGCTACTACTTCATTATAAACTGAAGCTTTCAGATGCTTTTCAGGGATGACTACAAGAAGAACAAAGTGCAAGATGCCCATGTGATCAGTAAGACTTCAGGTGAAGGTGAAGATGAAGCTGGTATCATGCTGCAAATCTGTCATTTGTGAACCAAGTATCAGTGAAGGCTCCAACCACTTGTTTATACAGAATGGATACATGCTGTCCTGTTTGAGGGCTATCAATCTCAATCTGGAGCAAGAGCTGAATTACAGTATAGCCTCATAAATCTGGTTTTCAAAATTCTGAAGTTTTCAAAAATTCAGCACTTTTTAAAAATACACTTCATCATAAAAGTAGTGGCAGCTGGTCCCAGAGCAGCAGCCACCTGCATAGTGGTGGCATGGGGTGGTGGATGGTGGTAGCACCTGCCATGTGCAAGCTTCTCCCTCCACACCAGGGGGTTTGTGGATTTATGAGGTTATACTGTACCTTTAAACAGATCAAGAGCAAAGTTTATTTAAAGGAAGTATAGATGTTTGTAATATATGCTTTAAATAGCATTTAATTTCACCAAATAAAGTCAACCTAAGATCTTTACAACTACATAAGCTTTACCCTCCCACCTTTTTCTTTTAAATCTTTTCGTCTCTTTGTTACCTCCAAACATACCTTAAGCATACTCCACTTTTCCTCTCTTCATTTTGTCCTCAGTTTCCTATGACCTATGTCCATATGTTCAGAGTTACTCCTCTGTTAGTGCTTGGTGGTTTAGTAGCATGGAAAGAAAAATATGGGGCTGCTGTGTTTGAAAAGGTATAGGGAGGGAGACCTTTTCTCCAAAACTATAATGTTTTTGGAGCAGATGGATCAAGAAAGGTTGAAAATAAGCCTATGAACCCAGGCTCCAGAATATTGTGGTGGCAGCTTCATCTGCTTGAATAGCTAAAGTGGAAGGGAGGTTATCATTAGCTGTGGCTAGTTGGGTACAAGCTTCTACTGAATGTCTTCTCACTTGCATTATACACTCAGTCCTACTGATCAGCCAGTTCTGTTTGGTAGTATCTTTTATTGGACCAACTTGATGGTTGGGAGAGATATTAAACTCATGTGGCCCGCCGGGTTGAGCTACCTTGGGGCTCACTGTGCATACAGCATGCAAAGTTGACACAGGACCTGCACTCCCTGTGGTGCACAGGCTGGACCTGATGCTGCAGACAGCACAGATCTGGCCACCATGTGCAGTACCACTTCCAGCCCATGCACTCCCCCCATGACTGTACCAGATGCTGCATGTCAGCAAGCTCCAAGCCCAGCAAGTGTTGGGTGCCGCATACAGGGCTAAACGGGCTCTGAACAGTGATTCCTGCAGTCGCAGAGAGCACACATGGCCAGCCCAATAGGGCATCGTATGCCGTGCACAACCTGGACCACCCTTGTATTCTGTGCAGCATGCAGGACAAGGACTACTATCGACCCACAGGCCAGATATGACTCTGTGGGCTAGATCCAGCCCATGGACCCTGTTTGATACCTATGGCTTAAACTGTAACTACTTCTTTCCCAGACATGAAAAAGTATGCCCAAAAGCTTGTCTAACGTCTCGCTACACTTTACAGCTGGCCCAATAAAAGATGTTACCCAAAAAACCAAAAACCTTGTTTTTCCTATATTTGCTGGGCCATTAAGAGGAACGCCATCACTGTGACCCTTCCGATCAGCAACCAGTGAAAAAAACTGGTGGTCTGTAAGATCCATGGGTCTCTGGGTTTGTAGTTTATGGATATATATGTGACACTAAACACTTCCTCATGCACATCAGCATGCCTTATGTTGTCTATTTTTAAATCACTTATCTTCCAGAAGTGTATTATAACTTGCACACAATGGATAAGGAGCCAAGTTTGATAATAAAGAGGGTTTAACTATGGCAAGCTGAAACTCCAGGGCCTACATATGCACAACAGGAAAGCGTCAAGAGAGAACAACACAAAGGAGAGTCCCACAAGGTAGAAAAATAAAATAAAAATAAGTGTAATGTGAAAATACAAATCCTAACAAGAATCTGAATTAACCAATATGTGATGAGTAACAAAACTCAGAATTAAGCTTACACTTAAAATCAAAAACACAAAACCTTACAAAGAACTAAAACCAGAAATTTAGTAGCCACTCCCTCCCATCTAGGTTCCGTGCAGAAACATTCAAGCGCAGTTCTTTTTCCCTTACCACTCTATGCTAAGCTGGAGATAAACCAAAAGATAGCCTGTAAATTTTTAATATTCATGTTAATGCTAGTAAAATGCTAATTTTGAAAGCTTATTACTAGGGGTACAGACAGACTGGTCTACAGGGGAGGGGGGGTGGTGTCCTGCAGCCACCCCAACATTTGCCGTAGCCCCCCACCCACAATCCCCCCTCTCCCAGCGCTGCTGCCACCGCCCTCACAGGGCTCTTCTCGGTGGGGGCTGGGTTCAGAGCAGGCGCTGGGAGGATTTTGCATCAACCCCAAATTTCACCACTGCTCTGCTCCTGCCACCAGCCTTGGCTCAATGCCCCACCTCCACTAATGCACTGGGAAGAGCTGGGACTGCATTGGGAGGCTGCAGCACTGGGAGCGGAGCGGCAGCAAAATTTGGGGTGGATGCAGCATCCCCCCAGTGCTGCCGGCACCCGCTCCAAATTCAGCCCCCTGAGAAGCTGCAGCCCGCCCTACACAGATCTGGCGGTACATAACCCCCCCCACTCCCATGCCCTCCTGGGGTACAAGCAGCAGTGGGAGCCGCTCCCACTAGCCATGGCTCCGTCCCCCACCTGGGCAGTGCCTGCCCTCTCCCTCACCACAAGGGGCATTGATTCCCCCCCCCCCCCATCACACTGGACTTACCAGCTGGAGGCAGCTATATTGGAAATCGGATTGGTATCAGCTGATATGCCCTCCTTAAATATTAGCCATTGATATCGGCCCCAAAAACCTCTATTGGTACACCCCTATTTTCTGTATCTAATTTCAGCTAAATGGGTCAAATACTGTGTATTTATTTTTACACAGACAAGTATCAGAACTATTAAAATTCATGAAGTTCATGTCCAGGTAGCTTGAGTGTTCAGTCAGTTCAGCAAGGATCAAGTAATTCATGCATCAAGAAGCGATTCTTGAGCTGCCCAAGATGGGCACAGGACACAATACGGCTCTTTAAAAATGTTGACTGGGCTTTCTTCCAATTTTTTTGCTTGATGGAATACTATAAACAAAACTAAGTCTGAACAATAGACTCAAACTCCACTTACTATTACATTAATTGCAGAAGAAAAATACCAAGGTAACTAGTTACAAATATCACCAAACCCTACAGCATCCCCACAACACAGCAAGATTTCACAAAGTTATTGTATTCAGCACATACCAACTTCCCTCTCCCCCACCAAATGTACAGCCAGCCCCATCACCATAATAGATTGTTCTCATTGTGAAACTAGTGCACAGATGGATCAACACCAGATGAAAATGGATCAGCTGTATAGTCATAGAAAATTAGGGTTGAAAGGGACTGACCTCAGGAGGTCATGTAGTCCAACCCCCTGCTCAAAGAACAGGACCACCCCCAACTAGATCATCCAAGCCATGTCTTAAACACCTCTAAGGATAGAGAATGCACAATCTCTCTGGGTAACCTGTTCCAGTGCTTTACTACCCTCCTAGTGGGAGAGTTTTTCCTAATATCTAACCTAAACTTCCCTTGCTACAGCTTAAGACCACTGATTCTTGTTCCGCCATCTGACACCACTGAAAAGATTAGCACCATCCTTCTTGTAACCACGCTTCAGATAATTGAAGGCTGCTATTAAATCCCCTCTTGATCTTCTTCTGCAAACTAAATAAGCCAAGTTCCCTCAGCCTCTCTTCATAAATCATGTGCCCCAGCTCCCTAACCATCTTCACTGCCCTCCACTGGACTCTCTCCAATTTGTCTACATCCTTTCCATAGCAGAGGGCCCAAAACTGAACACAGTACGCCAGATGTGACCTCACCAGTCAGAACAGAGAGGAAGAATAACTTTCCTCAATCTGACAGCAACACTCCTACTAATGCAGTGCAGTATGCTGGTATCCTTCTTCACAACAATGGCACACTGTTGGTTCATATTCAGTTTATTGTACTTTTCTGCAGAGCTGTTGCTTAGCCAACTGGTCCCCAGCTTGTACTGGTGCCTGGGATTGTTTTACACTTGTCCTTTAATCCTGATGAGATTTTTATCAGTCCAATCCTCCAATTCATTGAGGTCTCTTTGAATCCTAGCCCTACCCTCTAGCACATCTACTACTCCCAACAGCGTGATGGCATCTGCAAACTTGCTGAGGGTGCACTCTAGGCCATCTTCCAGATCACTGAAGAAAATACTAAATAAACCCAGTTGCAGGACAGACTCCTGGGATACTTCACTTGATATCAACTGCATATTAGACATCAAGCTATTGACTACTACCCTCTGAGCCCAATGATCGAGCCAGTTTTTTATCCAACCTTACAGTCCATTCATCCAACCCGTACTTCCTTAGCTTGCTTGTGAGAATGTTGTGGGAGATGAAAGCCTTACTGAAGTTAAGTATTATTAGCTATTGTCAGAGATCACTTTGTAGTTCTGATTTAAGAAATTTATGCCCTGACCCTATTAAACTTTGTTTCTAGAGCTAACTGTGGAACCAGGAACTACTTTAATGCATATAGTGATATTTTCCTTAACACACAGAAACAGCTGAATGTTTATATTTTCCCATCACTATACAGAATACACAGGATACACTTGTATGTTTAGACCTTAAAACATAATAGATGTTTATGTTACTTACTGGACAGATTCGGGTGTTCCAGTTAACATACAAGATCTTTCAGGCAGGCCACCACTATCTAAAATGTTTGTAAAATAAAAACTTAATTAACAATTCTATTGAGCTGAAAAATTATCATTAATAAAAATTAGCTGGACTGAGTATTAACACTCAAATACAGTCACTTGCTCACAAGATTTAGGCCTGTTTTGCACATGTGGATAAAATATGCTTTAATCTAAGATATTTAACTGAAAAGCATCAACTTATATTTTAAACCTACCCCTCTGGAATGAATAAACCTCAAAGAAAATAATTACCAGGAGCTATCTGTATTTTACATCCAGATTCTTGCTGTATGCGTGAGATCTGTTCTCCTCCTCTGCCTATTACTTTGGAGGAGAAAAGTAATAGAAAAAGATGCATATAATTAGTTCCAACAATATTTTTAAGATGTCAATTGAAGTGTTATTATTCTTACGTTACTTACTGAATCCAACCATTCCATCTGGAACCTTGTACTCCTCTGTCATTACAGATCTGAACAAGATGAAATGCAACAGAAAACATTTGCTAAGAATGCTGAACTGGTTTTCAATTCAGAGTATTATTTCATCTGTCAAGACAGACTGACTACCTTTAAACCATTGCCAATGAAGATAAACTTACATAACTCTACCTTGCAGTGTCTTTTGAGAAACCTACTTAGCTCTGCCTAACTTTAACGACAGCCCGGTGCACACATTTTTACTTTAAGAAATCTGTCAGTTTTAACCTAAAAGCCCTTCAATATAAATAGTGGCAAAAGCACAATCTAGTTCTACAAAGCAAAATGAAAATCAATGATTGTAGGGATGAGGGGACTGTTTGTTTGTACAGATGAAAAAAAATACTGAGTTTGTTCTTCCCACACAGTTCTAAGTGTAGCACATGACACCAAAAAAAAAGTCAACAAAATGGCATCCCATGCACTTAAATTTGGCTCTCAGCTATTAATTTTCACAGTTAACTTGGGAAGACTTTCAGAAGATGTTTCATAAAAGAGCATCAAGACAAAAAACAAAAAACAGAATGCTAAAAAACTCAAAAGCAAATGAAGCAACAACCAAAATCAGAAAATTTTTATAGCTCCAACCTTTGCTGTTGATGCATCGGTGGCATCTGGGTTCCAAAAGCTACAAAGAAACGCATGTTTTTAAGTCTAAGTCATAGATAATGGCAAAACATTTGATAATTACACCAAAGCAATCCACTAATAAGCTAACTATCTGTAGCTATATACAATAAAGCTAGGATTTACAGAAATGTTGCAAAAAGGTAGAAAGCCAATGACTCAACTCTATTGCAGAATATAAGGGAACAACACGTTTTGCTAGATTTTTATTCAAGAAACTAACGTAACCAATGTAAATATTGAACCACATTCATATAGGACAGGGATGGTGTGTCTATTTATTGAACAAGTGGGGCATCAAGGACTCGCTGAACTGCACATGCAGAGAGGTGCCATCAGTAAGCCAACTTCAAATTCCTGTCCTGAACTTGCATATATATCATGGAGGGATTGAAGCAATCCACTTAGCTGGCCATCAAACCTCAACATACAACTTTAATTAACCTGCACCTTCTCTGCTGTTGCTTGCCCTAGCCATACGAAAGAAAATGATTCAAGAAACTAAGACTCCCTCATGTCACCTTGATCTCACTGGTTCAAACATTATCTATCAGAATACTATGCCAAACTGTTACTGTGATAATGTTTACACTTGTTTACATTTTAGTCATACAAAATAATAATAAAAAACCCACTTACAATCATTCTGAGGTGCAACTTTCTTAGCATCTGGTTGATCTGTAAAATTAAGATGTTTTTATTTTTTTATTTTTTTAAATTAAAAAACCTGTCAATCTAATGGCTGTCCCTTCAGTGTGAACTGTAATTTTCCAGTGTATTTTAATCTCTTTCCCCCCTGGAATTTCAGGGAGCAGATCATCTGAATAAAAAAAAAAGAATCTTATGAGAACTCAGCATTCGGTTAGCATAATTGAAAGTAGTTTGGCATTACCACGTATCTGTTCACTGGCCTAGTAAAGACAATTTTTAGAACACGCTGTAGATTTTTAACGTATACTCAATTACTGACAGTTAACTAAAACTGCTCTGTTACTAATAACTGACTGCTCAAGCTAATGATGCTTCTACAGTAAAAACCAAAAGAACCACAAATCTAAGTAGAACATCAAATGTAAGATGCAACAATGCAAGGTAATCTCAGTCTGAACTACAGTATGACATTCCTGTTCCAATATCAGGTGTTTCAGAACAAAGGCTTAAATTAAAAAAAAAAGCTAAACCAAAGCAGCTACATCACTACTGTCCAAAACCTCTCTGTACAAATAAAAGGTATAAAAAAGGCATAGATAACCTGTATCTGAAAAGATGCAGATGCTTCCTTCCCACCCCATATTCAAATTCATATGAAGAAACTATTAATTATGCACAACACCTCAGACATGATCCAAGGTGTATTTGTGTCACCTGTTTAAAAAGATCCACTAGTTTATTTTATGTTTACATACTAAACACAGGTAATAAATAAAAATTCCTGCCTTTAAAAGGAGAGGGCATTCCCTCCCAGTGTGCTGTACTGCTCAGACTTGTCCAAGAGCCATCTACACATAAAATAAAAAGAATACATTACATACATCATCTGAAGCATCATTAGCTCATTTCTGAAAATCAAAAACCTCACTATTATAATAGGAAAAATCCCACATTATTACAGGACAAAATCCTGTAGATTGAGTCACAGTCCTCTTAATGGAATAAAGTCAGAGCTCATACACAAAAGACCTAGAACATATTTCAGCACTTCCAAATTCAAAATTTCTCCTTTCATTTTAGCAAGAATTGTGTGTGTGAGAGAGTGTGTGTATTATGAATCAAACCCTGTTAAGTTCACACTACTAGTTTACTAAGGAACAAAAAAAAACAACCAAAAAACCAGCATACTATACATTACAGGTAAAAACATTTCTGTAACAGGTAAGACAAGTCAAAAACATTAAAGATTTTTACGACAGGATATCATCAATATTCACAAGTTAAATATTTCAAAACAGAAGCTTTCCTGAAGTCTAACAAACAGAAGGTTTTAGTCCTATACCATTATACAGAAATAATTAGGAACTGCTGCACTATTTCTCCCTAGGCAACATTCAATTAGAGATTAAATCCAATGTAGGTTTGAAAGGCAATCTCCTTCTACATTAACAAAATTTGCAAACTACTGCCAGTCTTATACAGCAGGCAAAAGACTTTGACAGCACACCCAGATACAGGCACTTGCTGACAATTTGTTTTTACCTATTTTGCCCACATAATTTCCTTTCTGTTACTGTAGTTAATTTGGAAAAAATTAAGCTGTAAAATATGCTTATACAGACTTTGAAGTGACCAACTACACCGCATGCTAACTTCTAAACAAAAATCCGCATTGAAATAAAAACGTACAATTTGTAAGAGTGATCAAACCACAGTACAATCTGGGAAATTTAACCTAGGAGCTGTAATCCAGTGCTGCAGCACTGAACAAAGCAATGTTATATGGTGACATTTCCATGTATTAACACATACCTCCATCCTCAAGAGGTCTTTTTTGTCCTCCATAACCGTAGTCGTTTGAGTTCATTGAGGTCCCTGCGTCTCCACCAATTTTTGCTGCAATCTAAATAAAAAGAAAAAAAAGTCATGTAACAACAGACAGGGGATACCTGTTTTACCCGTAACATATCAGAAACGCAAGTCCTGATTTTGCTTGAAACTACTCATGGTTTCAAAGAATGCATTAAAAAAAACCCATGCCCCTCAGGTGGAGGAATGGGAAAACAAAAGCCGGAAGTGGTCACCTTGAAGAGCACTCCTGCAAATAATGACTTTAACAAATGCCTTTAAAGGACTGTGGTGCAAACAGGAGGGTGCTACACCCGCAAGGTGGAGAAGAGCAGTATTATATCTACTACTGCACAAACCCTGCGTGACACCGCACCTTACACCAGGCACCGAGGGCTCTCCCAGGGAGCCTGCAGCTAAGCCAGTCTGCCCCCGAGCCCTGGATCACGTTGCTTTCCTCCTCCCCGCATCCACAGCAGTTTTAAAACACAAGCCAATAAGGCCTCTGCTTGCTCCGCCCCGCTCGTCCCCCAGCGCCCCGCACGGTGGCAAGGGGGAAAGTGACCCAACGTGCAAGGCACAAAACGCCCGCTCGAGGCCAGGCCCAGGTCCGCCACCAAGGCGGGAGGTGCCTCCAGGCGCCGCTTCGCGCGGCCCCAGCACCAAACGGGGAAGGCCGAGGCAAACCCCCCTCCCCCCGCTGCTCGTGTGGGGAAGCGACGAGACTCACCCGCGCCTGCAGGGGAGGGCGCCCGGGCCC